CAAGACTTGTTTTTCATCGAGACAATGAGCCGAAGCTCCACAGGGATGGTTTAAAGACAACAAGGTGAAGTTCTGGAGGCCCAGTCAGAGTCCAGACCTCCATTCAGCTGAGAACTAGTGTCTGGACCTGAACAGTTCTGTTCATTCATGATGCCTGTAGAACAGGTTTGCAAAACAGAATGGGATAAAAGTGCAGAGTCCACATGTGCAAGGCTGAATTTTATTTTTTTTTGTAAATTCTTGTCAGAATGAATTTTGTTGACCATGATTCAATGTTGACAATAAAACAAGGGAAAGCTTCTCAGGGAGGTGTGAACTTTCATAGACTGAAGGTTGAAGGTGTTGTTGTCCTGCAGATCCCGCTGGACAATCCCAGGAAACCTCCGCTGCCGCTCTGTGACATCAGCTGTGGCGGCTGGGAGATGAGCGACCAGTCTGGAAGGTATCCGTACCTCTGGGGCGTCTCCCAACAAGGGCAGGTGGGTCTACTGGAGCAGAGCACATGAAGACCGCCTCGCGTCACCTTTTTCTTTTCTCAGCTTCACATGAAAGATTAGACGCTCTGCTGTGGTTTTATGAATTTGCAGCCACACACAAAGATTTACATTTTATGAGATCAAATTCTGCAAAATTAAAGACAGATACCTTTGCAACAAGCTGCAGGTCACTTTTAGCTTTTGGCCACCAGAGGGCAGCACAGATCCATATAAATTAAAGAGCCGACCGTGCGAGTGCTGCTACTTAACATATCTGATGTGGACATACAGCTTTAGGGTTTCAGGCTCCTGTCTTACTGCTTGAGAATATTTCACACAGTCACAGGTGAGTTAACATGTTTACCTGCAGGTGTGGTTCAGGGAAGGCATCCATCCTCGGGTCCCAGAGGGCTCCAGCTGGGAGGAGGTAGAAGTTCCCAAGGAGGTGGCTCAGCTATCAGCCGGGCCTGGAGACCTTCTGTGGGCTTTACTGTGGGATGGAAACCTATTGGTCCGTACCGGCCTCAGCCTGGACTGCCCGACTGGTCAGCATCCATTCCAGCTTCTCTGTTATTATCTGTCACTGTGACCCCACAGTCGCCCCTGTGTGATCCTTCTGTGATGTTGGGAGCTTTATGGGGATATGGACACTGGTACAGTGGATTCGATGAGTATGTGAGCTGCCACTGACATGTAATATATCTAAAAATGTGTCCAAGGAATGATTTCTGTCCAGCAGTGTAAACTAGAGTCTCACTTTGGGTTGATTTATCTTCAGTGCCTTTAAGACCTGCTTCTCTTTGCATAGTTTACAGATCAGAACTTAAACTCTACAGCAACGGTGCCAGCTTGTCCTGGTCTTCATGTTGTGTTTCGTCAGTAAACGTGCAGCTTCTTCCTCCTCCGTCAGGCACATCGTGGGTGGAGGTGCAATCGCCAGGAAAGGAGGTTGAAGCGCTGCACGTGGCTGTGGGAGTCAGCGTGGTCTGGGTGGTCACCAAAGACTACAAGGTGAAGCAGTGCTCCTCTCAGGTGTGGCGCTCTGAACACCAGCGGCGCTAACAGCTGTGTTTGTGCGTCCAGGTGTGGTTCCGGCGGGGCGTGAACTCCCACAACCCCTGTGGCTCCGGCTGGATCAGCATCGGAGGGGAGATGATGATGGTGGATGTGGGACTCAACGACCAGGTCAACACACTTCTGATCACTTTTTCATAAACCGATCACATTGTGGTAGCTTTATTGTCGTTATAGTGACATTATAATGTCACAATAACAGAGTTCAAGCAGTGCTCATGAAGCATTAAAACACTGAAGAACATTAAAAAATTTAAAAAACATTGGAAATATAAGAATAGGATATAAAAAGGGCAGACAGACGTATTCTATCGATTTTCTCAGCAAGTCAGCATCCAGACTGGAACACAGAATATCACCACAATGCAAATACTGTGGCTTCAGAGTGCAGCTGTTCCTGCTGGAACGGCCTCCTGGTGGCGTCAGGAGGAACAGCCAGACAGGCAGCCTTCACTTCACAATAGAACAGAATAGGATTTCTTTATTGCCACTGCACATGAAGCAGCGATCCTGTCAGTGCAGTCACACCATCAGACAACATTTTAAAAGCACAACAAGAAATGTGCAAATAAAGAGTATAAAACTAAGAAGGAACAAATGTCTTCATGTATCTATGAGCAGCGTGTTCTTTTAAAGGCAGCTTGTTTGGTATTTTAGTTTAAACCTAATGGGCAAAGTACTGTAATAAAAATGTCAAATTCCACTGAACTGCGCACCAGAAACACGTCAGGATGTGCACGGGGTTTTTATTGACAACGACACAGTTTAGATTTGATCTCCTGCTGAACGGTTCCACTCCTCTGTACTTGTGGCCGATCCACTTCGCCTCCTGCTCTGGATCTGGTTTCAGGTCGAGCTACAAACTCCTGCTCTGTGTCTCACTGCTGAGGACTTTGCTAGCACTGCAAACCCATACCTCACACCTCCTCCCCCGTCTCTCACCCGTCTCCCCCGCCCCCAGGCCTTCTACCTCTAGCCTGCGGTCCTGCCTGTAACACGAGTACAGCCAGCCGTTCCAGCCAATGTCCCAGCAGTAGCACCTCAGGCCAGCCTTATATATCTCCAGACTCCTACTGGCCTGACATATGGGAGACTCCCTAATTAGAAGCTGGCCAAGCCGTCGTCATCATATCCCATATTTCATATTTCAGGGTTGCAATTATGGGTATGGCTTGTGTGAGGGGCTGTTACAGTATATGGCCTAATAAAGGCACAGGGGCCTGTGTCCTGCTCCAGCGCCTCAGATGGCTCTAAAGAGGGAACAAAAGTTGGATTTTATTATGAAGAGGGATTAAGTATCAAACTGTTGTGTGATCACTGACAGTGAGTTCATGTAAAGACTCAATGAGTCCTTCATAGTTTCTCTGTTTCCTGTCAGGTGTGGGCGGTCGGTGAGGACCGCGGCCCGTACTTCAGAATCGGTGTGACTCCATCTGAACCAAGTGGAAACGGCTGGATCCCAGTGTCTGGCCAGTGGGGCAGTAATAAAGAAGCTCTTCCAGCCAGGTCTGAACCAGGAGCTGCACCGAGTCCTTTAACTGACACGTTACGTCTTCATGTCTGACTGGTTTCTTGTGTTTCTCAGGCAGGACTGTGCGTTCAGCGGCCAGCTGACCGAGGCCTCACAAGGCTCCGTCCTCAGCTGCACCGATTCAGACTCAGAATTAGGTCCTCCTGACCCTCAAAACGCCACCTCGGACACCCCAGTCCTGGAGGCCCAAGCTCCCTCTGTGGTCCCCCTGGGAGCAGCCGACTCCCCTCCACCTCCTCAGACGCCCACAGACGAGGCTCCCACAGCCCCCCAGAAAGATGCCCCCAAACCCTTCATCCCCGCCAGCGACAGCTTCATCAACAGCCTGGTCTCAGACCGCGACAGAACCGTGGCGTCGCAGCCGTCCATCGCTGAGATACCGCAGGAGGAGGTGGAGCAGCCGGCCCCGGCCCCGATGCTCCCAACCCCCGAGGCGGCCGGACACGACGTCCCCTGGATGAATGTGGACCTGGAGGGGGCGGAGGCCGCTCGGAGCGCCCAGGCGACAGCGTGTTCGCTGGGCGATGGCGGCGCAGCTGCAACTTATGCTTTGGGAACTCTTGAGAGCTCTCAGGGTGTCGGGGAGGAGGACGGGCCCGTGTGGACCTGGATCTCTGGCGGAGGCTGCGATGTGGACGCAGGGTCACAGATCAGCTGGCTGAGTCCAACAGGTACAAGGACAACCAGTGTCCATGGTTTTAATTGTGATCTATGCACTCAAAGGTAGCAAACTGCAGGTCAGACGACACATCTCATGGAAAAGAAGGACCAGATGTCGCGTGTGGTTCAGTGATCTGAATGTCAGGCTGCATCTGTGCTGCTTGAATGTTGTCTGCTGGCCGTCTGGCGGTTTCTACATGTAGAGATGTTCTGTACTTGTTATCTCTCTGGCTGTCTGATGGTTTGTCCACACGTCTGTCTGTCTGCCAGGTCCTCTCACCAGCTCCCTGTCGCTGACACCGGTCCAGTCGGCAGCCTGGAGCGAGCAGCAGCAGCAGCAGGAGCACAGAGAGGAGATCAGCAAGAAGCCGCTGGAGAGAAGCAACGTGAGGCTGCTGTTCTTCTGTCTTTTCTTTAACTCCTCCTTTCTGTTTTGCATCGACTGTGGCCTAGTCCACATGCACACA